ATATATATATATATATATATATTTCTAATTTCGATGAAACACCGGTTTGTATTTTATAAAGATTGAAGGTCTAAAGAAACAATTGAGAACTTTGTGAAATGTATATAAAATTTTATCAAAGTGAAGTTAGGTTTTTGTCTACCTAAAACAAAAAAAAAAGATTTTCATATTGTAAATCATGATTACTTATTAATAGTCTTAAAACAGTTGGTGTATGAGATTTACCCCATAGATATTGCACTGGAAAAATTATTGGTACAGCACACTCCCCCAATAATTGATCTGTCCTCGCTGTATTTGCATTTGAACTTCGTGGTACACTGTCGCATATAGTTTAGACTGGGTGAATGATTTAATTAATCAATGTGATCAATTATCTATGAGCACTGATAAAATTGATCAAATTGATTTAATGTCATGAAAATAATCAACTAATCAGAATTAGTGTTTCTGATTATTACTTTTTATTCAATTATTCCAAATATTATGGTAATCAAAATATTGCCTTCATGAATTGTTCCTTATTATTTTTGATAAATTCAAGGTTGTTAAGCTTAATCTTTTAGAGATACAACTAGAGACATGAAAATAATCAACTAATAGAAAATAGTGTGAATCAAATTTTTATTTTCAATTATTTCAATCCTCGTGTGAGAATAATTAACTTGTTAAATGTCATTGAATAATGAACCAAATGGTTAATCAATTAACAAATTCCATTAATCACACCACTCCAATATTGTTTAAAAATTTCAGTTGCTAACACATCCAGCCAGTTGATTCAAAATGTGGTTGGGAAATTCAAGGTTGAATTGAATGTTGTAAATCTCACGTTTACCAGACTCGTGACTTGTATATCTGTTTAGAAGTTCACACAAATTCTAGGAGTTTATTTTTTTATTTCTTAATAATTCACTACTTTTTGAAACGTATTCACTATTAAAAATTATTTTAAAAAAAATAATTCCTTAGTAATTTTTTCCTGCAATAAAAAAATGTAAATATAAAAAAAATAAAAACTCACTTGTAGGATATGAAAATGCATGACAATAAAAGAGCTACCATTTTCTAAGAGGCTGCTTTCTTGAGTAGTATCAACATTAAAGTCAAACTACGTACAGTTCTTTTTTCACAATGACATATATTCAGAAAAATGGTTAGCTAAATGGAAATTGAGTTATCACTTTTCTTTACACTTTGTTTCAAGGCCTAGTGAAAACCGGCATTAATAGCCTGTGTTTAATGATGCTTCAGTGTGGCATTACTTCTGTCAGCAACCATAAAGAGACAGTAAATAACAATATGATAAAGTTATTGTGATCAAGTTGATGAGGTTGTTACAAAAAAAAAGAAAACTGAACAAGTCAATGTTCAATCAAATAGTTTTAGGAAATATAAATCAGGTTATTATAGATTCTAACATTGTGCTTAGAACCAGTTGCATGATCCTTCAAAGATAAATGGTTATAGGATGCAGCACTGATGGTATGAGTGTGTATGGCACAGTTCAACCCATATCCATTGTTGGTGGTGTGCTGAAAAAATTCATAAACTAATCTAAATAAAATTACTTATTTTTAAAGTAATTTCTTTGAATAGTAAGGTGTGTGATAAAAATACACATTCTCAACTTCTTTTACATGTACTAGAAAAGCTATCAGTTTGCTATGACATAGTATCATTGAAATGCAAAACTAAAACTTTTTAACTATAAATGTATATAGAAATTCAAGTTATAGTTCTAGACTTATATTTGTGAGAAATATTTTTATAGAATATAAAATCAATCTTAAGAGTTCCTTATGACTCAAATCAAATGTTTAGTATGTGTTATGATATGTTTGTAAATTTAGAACACAGGAATTTGAAGACTAAATATATTTAAATTATAAGTAAATAAATTTTATAAGCTTAAATTTAAAAGATTTTATAAATGACAAATAACTATGTTAAAAAATATGAAATATTGAATAATATATAAAGGTCAATACAAAATTTAAAATTTTTTGTCATTAAAATTATTTAATTATGGCAGTCATTTGTTTTGTATTTATGATTTAGTTTGTATAGTAAAATATTGATTTCTAATTTCATCTAAAAAAATTTAAAAACTACATTATGTATGTGAGCTTCCTTAGCTTAAGTGTTGTATCTCTAGAGCACATTGTATTCAAGTTATATTTCCAACTCTTGTATTCCAATGGTGAAAACGGTTAAATATGTTGATTTCTTTCCTATAATAATGGGACCATAGTGACACTCTCTAAGTTATATCTTACTAGAGTATTACTAAGATAGTAACACAGTGTTTCAAGTTATATTTCAACAGTGCTAACTAAGGTTACAATAACTTTCTTACTCTTAAATTCAAAGTCTGCTTCTTTCACCAAGGAGTTTTATCATGAATAACAAACATTTTGTTTTTTGAGAGTTCTTATCACATAACAAATAAGTACTTTTCAGATTTCATTATTCCAAGTTTATAACTCAACACTTTTGAAACTCATTTCTCATGTGTGGCCTAGTATGGCCAGGTGACTAGGGTGCTTCACTCGCAGTCTGAAGGTCATTGACCATGCTATCTCTTTTAGCCATGGGGATGTTATAATGTGATGGTCAATCCCACTTATCTTTGGTAAAGAATATCTCAAGAGTTGGTGTTGACTATGTGCCTTGTCTCTAGCCTATCACTTCTAAATTAGGGACAGCAAGTGCAGACAGCCCTTTGGTAGCTTTGTGAAGAATTCAAACAAACAATTTATTGTTTTCTGGGCTTGTCACTAAGACTGGACAAATGCAAGAAATTAATACACATTTCTCTGTTTAAATGAGTTAATTTCTAATCTAGAAAAATCTTTAGTGCTGTGTATGTATGAAAATGGAACTAATTTTTTTTTTTTTAGGGAATTGTTTGTTAGGCATAGAAAAATTACTTTTTCATGTAGTACCCTTAGAAAATACCAAGTGTGCACAATAGGTATATAAAGCTGTTGAAAAAGTCACACACACATGCACAATGTATGCCAAAACATTTAGCCAGTAGAAGTAAAATTTTCTTCAAAAATGAAGTGTAATTTTTACAAACAAACATAACATTCTGAATTTGAATAAACAACTGGCTTTGCAAAAC